TAACAAATGTGCAATTTGGAGAAGGAACAAATGACCAAAATAATCTGAATTCACACACACACACACACACACACACACACACACACACACACACACACACACACACACACACACACACACACACACACACACACACACACTCACACTCTATATTCAAAAATTTATAGTATTGTATTTGTTCCTTCTGTTAATTCACACAAGTTTTATTCTGTAGTTTGCACAGCTTTTTATATAAAATTTTATTGTTGTATTTGTTTCCACTTGCCAGAAGTAGACCTGGAGTGTTTTTGTTATCCTTAAAAAGTGCATGTTCTATTTATTTGTAGCTTGTATCTTGCTAGTGTTTAATATGTTGAATTTCTGCCTGTTAAATATGATAATTTAGATGTACTGTGAATCATTTGCCTTTTGCAACTGCAGCACCTCATGCCTTGGCTACGAATTCAGTTTTTCTTCCAATTTCCCGTACATTATTTTTAAAGTTTGGCTTGAACCTTACCTTGATTTGTGTTGTGCATTGTAGATTTCAAATTATTTTCTAATTCTCACTGCTATTAAGTCATGTTCATAGGTATTAGAATTTCCTGTTTGAGTTGAACATACAGTATCCTTAAAACCAAATGCAAGCGCATTCGAAAAGAAGTGAAGCCCCTTAGTCTTTTTTTTTTTTTTTTTTTTTTTGTGTAATTTATTTTACCCCCATTTGGATGTCACAAATGCATATTAGATTGAAATAGATGAAAGCACTTTCTCAACCCAGTTATAGGAACTGTAGAGTTATTAGTGGCTGTAAGTGATGCACTATTTTCCTTTATGATTTTCAGTCATACACCTTTGAGCAGTACTAGAATTCCAATTTGATTTACAACATACATACAGGTTATATCTAGGCAAAGGTTATTTTTTATGAAGGTAAAAGTTTCACACAGTTGGGTAAAGGATGGTGATGTATACTGTTCTTCAGATACCCAGGATGAATATGATTTAAGAGGATGACAAAAGTTGAAAAATTAAGTTGATTCAGTCGCGATAGATCCTGTGAAGTTGATTAAATTTACTACTGTTATAAGTGTAGCGCTGAGGTAGCAGTGCTCATTTTTCAGCATAGGAGAAATTTTTAGAATGCATCGGAAGCTTTTTAATCTTCAGATGACAAATTTTTAGTTTGTGATCATAGTTGGTGATGGTTACAAATATGCATGGACTTGACAAATTTCCAGAAAATTGTGAAATTTTACATCTTGTAATGTATATCTGAAATAAATTTCTTCGTGAAACTAAATTTTTCTAGGTCTTTCAACATTTGAAGGACCAAGATTTTTTTTTTTTTTCTTCGTGTGAACTTTCCTATGTATTTTTTTTGTTGACTTTTCTCTTTGTATTTTCTTTTATTTGATCTTTCTTGTATTGTATTTCTTGTATGCAAGTCTTGTATAACATTGGGTGAATGTGCTGAGAAGTGTATAAAGAGTTGTCACAGTATTATGCCTTATGCACTTCATGCACACAAGATGCCAATGATATTTACAAATAAAGATTGATGATTTGGAAGACTTGTGATATAGCATATATTACCTTTGAGTCTGGAGAAACTGCAAAGCTAAGCTATCGTTGCATAAGTGATCTAGAAAGCTACCGGTATCAATCAGAAAGAAATCATCCATTTGCCTGAAAATTTGGCACTAAAGTATCTTAATTGAATCTGATAATCTGTAGCAGTCTTGGATCACTGTGTTGAGCTTATTTTCTTACCAGGTGATGGGTTCGATGCATGTTAAAACGACTCATTGGTGGGACTGTTGGATGGCCATGAATGTATTTTGAGTGTCTGTACGACATTGTTCTTTGTACCAAGATCTATATAACTTTTCATTATGACTTTACTAATATTTCTGTATGTGACATTTCTTTTTGTTTTTTCCTTTATTTTTGCAAATTGAAAAAAAATATATAAAATCACTAATAGAATTGATTTTTCATGTTTGTGTTCTGGTTTTAGTATTTGAAAAAAAAAAAAAAAAAAAAAAACTAAATTTTCATCTGGATTTTTTGTTTAACATTGAATCAAGTTCACAAATATATATACATATAGATTTCGTTTAATATAATAAAGCTTAAATTTTTTAGTTTTATCTTGACTTTCAAGATTGTCAAACATTTGTCCACCTGTATACTGATCTTTCCATTTTTATTTCAGTCTAAGAAAAAGCCCCAGAAGGCTAAAGGGAAGAAGGGAGATAAGGATTTGAACGATCTGAAGCAGGAGTTGGAACTTGATGAGCACAAGGTCCCAATCGAGGAACTCTTTCAACGTCTCACTGTTAACCCAGACACAGTAAGTTTACAGCAAGGTCTTTGTTGTATCTTTTGGTATATTGTCTAGTTTAAGGGTGTTGGTAATATTTGATTCAATAGCGACAGGGGAGAAATTTCGGGAAAGTGGGGTAAAGGCTAGTGTATGTTAGTGTGCACCGCTCCGCTCCTGGGTGATTGATCAGCTTGCGGTAGCGCGCCTGAGGTCCTGCCTACTATTGAGATGTTAGGATCTGTGATTATTTAGTATATGATTTGATCTAATGTCACCTATTGCTAATGAGTTAGAATAGATGTGTATTAGTAGATACAAACTTGTTACCCTCAAAAATAAGTCAAATGTAAATCCAAATAGAATTCTCTCTTATGTACTTTGAATACAAGATGTTTTCCTGCCTTGAACACGACTGACCACTCCTTGTAACCTTGCAGGGTCTATCACAAAGTGAGGCTAAGCGCCGTATTGAGCGAGATGGGCCGAATGCTCTCACCCCACCCAAGCAGACTCCAGAATGGGTCAAGTTCTGCAAAAACCTCTTCGGTGGTTTCTCACTCCTGCTGTGGATTGGCGCTATCCTCTGCTTCATTGCCTACTCAATTGAGACAGCTGCAGAAGAGGAGCCCAACAAGGACAATGTAAGTTTCAGTGTTGGAGAGAGAGAATCCTTTATTTAAAGAGATGACGCAGTAATCATTGTGTTGAAAAAAAAAAAAAAAAAAAAAAAAAAAAAAAAAAAAAAAAAAAAAAAAAAAAAAATAAAATCAGTAATATAATTGATTTTTCATGTTTGTGTTCTGGTTTTAGTATTTGAAAAAAAAAAAAAAAAAAAAAAAAATAAAATCAGTAATATAATTGATTTTTCATGTTTGTGTTCTGGTTTTAGTATTTGAAAAAAAAAAAAAAATAAAATCAGTAATATAATTGATTTTTCATGTTTGTGTTCTGGTTTTAGTATTTGAAAAAAAAAAAAAAAAAAAATAAAATCAGTAATATAATTGATTTTTCATGTTTGTGTTCTGGTTTTAGTATTTGAAAAAAAAAAAAAAAAAAAAAAAAAAAAAAAAAATAAAATCAGTAATATAATTGATTTTTCATGTTTGTGTTCTGGTTTTAGTATTTGAAAAAAAAAAAAAAAAAAAAAAAAAAAAATAAAATCAGTAATATAATTGATTTTTCATGTTTGTGTTCTGGTTTTAGTATTTGAAAAAAAAAAAAAAAAAAAAAAAAAAAAAAAAAAAAAAAAAAAAAAAAAAAAAAAAAAAAAAAAAAAAAAAAAAATAAAATCAGTAATATAATTGATTTTTCATGTTTGTGTTCTGGTTTTAGTATTTGAAAAAAAAAAAAAAATAAAATCAGTAATATAATTGATTTTTCATGTTTGTGTTCTGGTTTTAGTATTTGAAAAAAAAAAAAAAAAAAAAAAAAAAAAAAAAAAAAAAAAAAAAAAAAAAAAAAAAAAAAATAAAATCAGTAATATAATTGATTTTTCATGTTTGTGTTCTGGTTTTAGTATTTGAAAAAAAAAAAAAAAAAAAAAAAAAAAAAAAAAAAAAAAAAAAAAAAAAAAAAAAAAAAAAAAAAAAAATAAAATCAGTAATATAATTGATTTTTCATGTTTGTGTTCTGGTTTTAGTATTTGAAAAAAAAAAAAAAAAACTAAATTTTCATCTGGATTTTTTGTTTAACATTGAATCAAGTTCACAAATATATATACATATAGATTTCGTTTAATATAATAAAGCTTAAATTTTTTAGTTTTATCTTGACTTTCAAGATTGTCAAACATTTGTCCACCTGTATACTGATCTTTCCATTTTTATTTTTTCTTTAATTTCTTTGGAGCCGAGCTAGACTCAAATTGACCAAGAGTCTTGGATCGCAAAGATTCAAAGGTGAAAATTATAGGGTTCTTCCACTTTCCTTTTAATTTTGTTGCCTTTTAGCCCATCCAGAAGCAGCACTTTTACACAGAGTACAATACTCTTATCTTTGTCTCTTGTGTAAAAGAAGATCCAGAACACTAATTTCGATGCTGAAGATTAAGGAGAAAGTTAAGTAAATAGACATGAATAGGAAAAGTACTGACAAATAAGCTTGTTTGCAGTTGTACCTGGGCATTGTGCTCACAGCTGTCGTGATCATCACAGGCGTCTTCTCGTATTACCAAGAAAGCAAGAGCTCCCGTATTATGGAATCTTTCAAGAACATGGTCCCTCAGGTGAAGATGCCAATATTTGTTTGAAGTTCTACTTGTAAGCGTGTTGTGTCGTAAATGTCCATGCATCACTGGATCTTTTTGCAGTAACATACGTATATTGTGACTGGCCAAGTAACAAACCTTTTAGTGCAATTCAAATTTTAAATATGCATTATAGAACGTAACTGGTCTAATCTATGTTTCTTCTCTAGACCCTCTTGCTTCTGTCTCTAATGATTATTCTGCCTCTTGCTCTTGTTGTATCTGTAACATACTTCCATATCTCTCTTTTCCGAACTTTTTCTTCACGTGTTGTGGTCTTTGTCCTTATACTTTCCATGTGCTCACACTGCAGGTATGGACACTAGAAATTTCCTTTCTTCAATTTAATCTTGCAACAGAATGTCCTCTTTACTTAACCTAACCACTGCATCTTGTGAATATCTCTATTTCTTTTCTCCTTTTGCAAAAATATTCTTTCAAAATTTTATCTGTTTAAGGTGTTTCTGATGCCTATTTTCTGGACCGTCCTATTTCCCATTGACCATTTTACCAGTAATATTAAGTGGGCCAATAAAAGGCTTAAACATCCCCTTAAGGCTTCGATTTTGCCCATATATATGTGTATATATATGCACACATGTATTACTATCATACTTGGATTATATGATGTTTGATATATGTAATGAATATGTTTGTGTTGGTATGAGTGTGTGAATATATATACATATGTATGTAACCTGTATTTTTTATTTTTATTTTTTCATTTTTTAAAAATTAATTTACTTTCTAAAAAAAAATTAAATTCCCACCTTTTGTTTTAGTAGATTTTATGCAATAGTCTCTTGACCAACTTTCCATTAACATTTTGCTGATTGCATTATAAAGTACATTGACATCCACAGTACAAATACTGGTTCATACTTAACCATTTGAATATCTGAGGATAATATCAAGATCTATTGATGTACAGAACTTTGAATAAAATAGTAGATGTCAGTGTATCACTTGAAAGACTTGCAATAGAAAAATAACAGGTTGTACATTTAAGGGTGGTATGTGATTAGGGCGGTTTCAAACTTTTGGTCTACTAAAGGAGGCATGGTAAGATTATATAGTATTAGATCTAGTTGTTTCTGCTGAAAGTTTCAACAGTTAAACAAAATCATGATTTACTAACTTGCATCAGGCTTTTTGTAACAAGTTGAAACTTAAGCTATTAAATTCTTAGGTCTTCTCAGGTAAGTAGATGGAACCTATATATATTACATTGAAAATGTATTTAAAGTTTGTTATATTTATTTGATAATTAGTTGATTAATTTTTTTTTGTGGGAAGTTACTGTTATTTGATTTTTAGTACATATCAGTTTATTTTAATAAGTATTAACTACAAAACTTTCCTGTTGTGTTATTCTAAGAGTACATAGACTAGGTAAATATCCCTAATTGTAGGAACTGAAGTTAATTGATACTCTTCTCTTTCAATCAGTATGCTATTGTTCTTCGAGATGGCGAGAAGCAGAATGTTCAGGCTGAGGAACTGTGCATAGGAGACATTGTAGAGGTCAAGTTTGGTGATCGTATCCCAGCTGATATCCGTGTCATCGAAAGCAGGGGCTTCAAGGTGAGTTCCTGTGTAATTTTTGTTTCGTCATTAGTAGTAAAGGTTGTAATACGATTTTTATCTCAGTTCATAATATAAAAGTGTTGGTAATGATAAGTAATACAAACTTTGCCTTTGTGCTACAGGTCGACAACTCTTCCCTGACTGGAGAATCCGAACCCCAGAGCCGATCACCCGAATACACTTCCGAGAACCCCCTTGAGACCAAGAACTTGGCATTCTTCTCCACCAATGCTGTTGAGGGTGTGTTTTTTGTGCTTTACTTATGGTCTTCCCTATCTTTCCTGACTTTAAGCTTGATAACATTTGTTGTAATGATGAAAGTGTGGTAGTCCCTAATTTCTGTAATATTTTCAGGTACCTGCAAGGGTGTCGTTATCATGATTGGTGACAACACTGTGATGGGTCGTATTGCTGGTTTGGCATCTGGATTGGAAACTGGTGAAACCCCCATTGCCAAGGAAATTACCCATTTCATTCACATCATTACTGGTGTGGCTGTGTTCTTGGGTGTGACCTTCTTCGTTATTGCCTTCATCCTTGGTAAAGATCCCAGTTGAAAATGTTTGTTAATGTAATTTTAGTCTCATTAAAGATTATTACTCTCTACTTGACTCATTTTTATATATGGCTCAGTAAATTCAATGCAGATCTTCTATTCTAACTCTTACTCTTCAAAGATGTTTTATAAGGATTTAGAATTGACCACAAAATTTGTATACTAATTTGAAACTCCACAATTTCAGGGTACCATTGGTTGGATGCTGTTGTGTTCCTCATTGGTATCATTGTAGCCAATGTGCCTGAGGGTCTGCTAGCCACTGTCACTGTGTGCTTGACTCTTACTGCCAAGCGCATGGCTGCCAAGAACTGCCTTGTAAAGAACTTGGAGGCTGTGGAAACCCTGGGTTCCACTTCCACCATTTGCTCTGATAAGACTGGTACCCTCACCCAGAATCGTATGACAGTAGCACATATGTGGTTCGACAACACCATCATTGAAGCTGATACATCTGAAGATCAGTCTGGCTGCCAGTACGACAAGACCTCACAAGGCTGGAAGGCTCTGTCTAGAATTGCTGCCCTCTGTAACCGTGCTGAATTCAAGAGTGGCATGGAAAACACTCCCATCCTGAAACGTGAAGTAAACGGCGATGCTTCTGAAGCTGCTCTGCTGAAGTGCGTTGAATTGGCTGTTGGTGATGTAAAGGGCTGGCGTGCACGCAACAAGAAGGTATGTGAAATTCCTTTCAACTCCACCAACAAGTACCAAGTATCCATTCACGAGACTGAGGATAAGAACGACCCACGATACCTTGTTGTGATGAAGGGAGCCCCTGAGAGGATCCTGGAACGCTGCTCCACCATCTACATCAATGGAGAAGAAAAGGCCCTCGACGAAGAAATGAAGGAAGCTTTCAACAATGCCTACCTTGAATTGGGTGGCCTCGGAGAGCGTGTACTTGGTTTCTGCGACTACATGCTGCCCACTGACAAGTACCCACTTGGATACCCCTTTGATGCTGATGCTGTAAACTTCCCTGTCCATGGTCTGCGCTTCGTGGGTCTGATGTCTATGATTGATCCTCCCCGTGCTGCTGTACCTGATGCTGTAGCTAAGTGCAGATCTGCTGGTATCAAGGTTATCATGGTTACTGGTGATCACCCCATCACTGCCAAGGCTATTGCCAAGTCTGTAGGTATCATCTCTGAAGGAAACGAGACTGTTGAGGACATTGCACAGAGGCTGAACATTCCCATCAAGGAGGTTGACCCCACTGAAGCCAAGGCTGCTGTGGTTCACGGTTCTGAACTTCGTGACATGACATCTGAGCAGCTGGATGATGTCCTCCTCCACCACACTGAAATCGTGTTTGCCCGTACCTCCCCACAACAGAAGCTGATCATTGTAGAAGGTTGCCAGCGTATGGGTGCCATTGTAGCTGTAACTGGTGATGGTGTAAATGATTCTCCTGCTCTGAAGAAGGCTGATATTGGTTAGTATTCTTGGCAACTAAAAATTTTATTGTATTGGACATTCCTACTTGATAATATAAGTATGCTGATATATGGATTGTAACATTACACTGTTCACATTATTAAATTCAATCTTATTCCTACAGGTGTTGCTATGGGTATTGCTGGTTCTGATGTGTCCAAGCAAGCCGCTGACATGATCCTGTTGGACGACAACTTTGCTTCCATTGTCACTGGTGTTGAAGAGGGCAGACTTATTTTCGACAACCTGAAGAAATCCATTGCTTACACCCTGACATCTAACATCCCTGAGATCTCTCCTTTCTTGTTCTTCATGATTGCCTCAGTCCCACTTCCTCTTGGAACTGTGACCATCCTCTGCATTGATCTGGGTACTGACATGGTAAGTCATGCAGCTTTTTATTCCCCAAGACAACTTTCAAGGGAAGGGTGACACTTAACTTTTTTTTTTTCTTTTCTTTCTTTCTTTTTTTTTTTTTTTTACTGAAAACTCCCCCAGAACAATATTTTACTTCAAAGAATAAGATCCACTCAAAAATCAAAAACACATGGCCAGATCCAAGAAACCTTTTGCCACATTTCATATACAAACATATATTACCCAGGGTTTACATATTGTTGTATAATATTTATTTTAGCAATTATTGATTTTTTCTTCCCAAGCTGCCAGCTATATCCTTGGCATATGAACAAGCAGAAAATGACATAATGAAGAGGCGCCCCAGAGATCCTATATATGACAAATTGGTTAATGAGAGGTACTGAGTCAAATGGTGATATTACATCTGTTGTAGATGGATAAAACATATACTTGTAAAGTAATTAATTGCCAGGTAATTCTTGAAAAGCAAACTACTATGAGTAGTAAGTTTTGTAAGTCATATTCAACCAAAGCTTAGTAGAAAGAAGTAATCGTAAAGTAGAGTATCTTAACTTTATAAAGTTGGAAAACCTTAGATTTGCCTCTTACACACCCTACCAGTTCATTCCCTGTACAATTTCCGTCCTCTCGGTAGATCCCAGCCATATCACTGGCCTATGAAGCTGCGGAGAGTGATATCATGAAACGATATCCCCGAAATCCATTCAAAGACAAACTTGTCAACGAAAGGTAAAAAGGGCTGCATAGGAATGGATAACATGGAACGATTTTTTATCCAGCTTTTGCAAGATGGCAAATTTCATACTCTGCCACTTTTACTAGCACGCAAAATTGGCCATGGGATTTTTCTCGTTTAATAGGCAAAGGTTTGGTCTCAATTATGAAAAGACCATGTTTTGCATGTTTCTTTTTTATACCTTTTTTTTTTTATATATAATATTGAAGAGAAGAATAAGAAAAGAAGAGTGGACATTATTAGTAAGGTATTTTTTTAATATTACCAGACTGTTGAAGGACCAACAATCTGAATTCTCTTGGCTTATCCAACTGGGCTGGCGGGGGATAAAAAGCAAGAGTATGCATTTTCCCCCCTTTTTTTTATTTCATATTTTATCTATATTTCAAATTATAACTTGAAAGCAGGTTTATGAGAATGATCTTGCTAGTGTTTTTTAATCCTCAAAATAAATTATTATATGAAATTTATGAAAATTTAACAACTTTTACTTTAAGCTACTTACTTCATTGTTGCTTATTCTAATACTTCAAAATTTTCTTCTATGCCCCACCATTTGCTAAATTTCATCATTCACTGTGATCAGGCAATCACATCCTTTTATTGTAAACACATTCACACACAATGGTCATATGTGTATGCTCGTATTTATTTTAAAAATCTGTATATACATATGTATGCACACACTTAAGCACACACACAATACTCTTGATACATTTCTACATTTCAAAAATAATCATGCAAGTGCATTTTGCAACATGATTCAAATTTTTCATCAAGTTCTTTGCTTCTCATTTCCTTCCCTTCTACCCAGCTTTTACCCTTTTTATTGTTCATAAATGATGATAAAAATCAATATTTTCATTACCAGTATTATGATTATTGCTGTTAATGGATAATGGCCCAAATAATCATGAATAGCTTCCTTTTTTGTGAGAACTGGAATGCACTTTTTTCTTTTTCATAAATTTTCCTCCAGAGCTCCAGAGTGCAAGTCACATTTTGTGATTTTTGTCCGATAATTTAAGATTTTTATATTGATGACATAAGTTAAAACCTGTTTCAAACTTTTGATGAAAAAAAAAAAAAGGATTTTGGTTAGAGGATATTACCATAGTAGTTTTTAGAATATTATATACATATGCCCCTGCCCATCTCATTGAGTAATCTGCACTTATCAGAACTGTTACTGTTTTTTCACCACTGTCTGGGATTATTCATGAATTTCATTCACAATGTCATCTTGCACACGGATCACCCTGCCACTGCAGGCTGAGTGTGTAGACTTGCTAACTCTCAGCCGTCCATATCGCACAACTTGGGCCGTGTTCAGTAAAGTGTATTTTTCAGGCCACATAGATAGATTTTTGTTTTTTCCTGGATTAAATTTTAATATGAAAGCATGCTGGTCTCTATATTTTCATATCAGTTTTTATCTTTATACAAAAAATATAAGTTAAAAGGCCTGAAGGTTGCACCTGTTGCAAGCGGTGTTTGTGTGTATTGACCTGCCATGCATGCCATATTCATCACCATAGTGTCGTGCCTCAAAGAGTTCACCCCGTGTGTATCTGGTCTCATATCTGTCTTTTTTTGTCTGCCTCTTGTCCTGTGCTGGCCATGACAGGTCCCAGCCATTTCCCTTGCCTATGAAGCAGCTGAATCTGATATTATGAAGCGTCAACCCCGAAATCCGTTCACCGACAAGCTTGTGAACGAGAGGTAACGTGTGCAGGTTCTCTCTCTCTTTCTCTCTCTCTCTCACTTTCTCTCTGCCTTTCTCTCTCCCCCTATTTATACATATCACTTCCTGTATACCCATCCTACACCCTAATATCAGATCAATCAACCCAGATGCTGGAGAATCTCAGTGATCGAACCCTTGCATGAATGTTCTCTAGCGGATGCAGATCCAGAGTATGTACAAGCATCAGCTGTGCTTGCTACTAAAACGAACCACACAAGGACAAAGTCTAAGCAATCAGGAACTAGAACGAAGAAGCACAGCTTGCTTAAGTACTCTTTTTTGTGGGACACGATGACTGAGGCTTGTGTATTCCTTTCTTCTGGAGTACCGTTATACCAGGTCCAAAATCATCTTGTCTCATGTTTTAGCCTATATCCGAGATCCCCTACACACAAATTTACTGCTGTTCAAGGGGCCTGTCACCATCTTTCTGGTAATGCTAGCACATGCCCAACAGGACAGAGCAGAGCTCATATCTTGGTACATTTATTGCATTTTCTTTTATTTCTAAGTGCATTTTAAGATTCCAGGTTATGCAAGCTGCAGCATTTGTAGTGATTTTATCTTTTTATTTTCGTCTTAAGTTGTGCATTTCATTTTTATTGTTTTATTTGTTTAATTCTATTTTAACCTCATCATTTGGTTAATATTTAGGTGCCTGCCATTTCCCTTGCCTATGAAGAAGCTGAGTCTGATATTATGAAGCGCCAGCCCCGAAACCCATTCTCCGACAAGCTTGTAAACGAGAGGTAATGTTTTTGTGAAGTGCAGCAATTTGCATACTAACAAGTTGGCGTGTTTCTCTTCTAACGAAGTGAGTTAGTGAAATCCAACTAACAAGCTTGTTGTCGAAAATATGGTGGTGGTATAACGGTTTGAATTTTTATTTTATTTTTTTTTTCTTTAGTATGAAAGTGTGACCTTTTCTCTTTCTAAAGGTTTCACAAGCAAGGCTTGTCATAATGGGGGTTTCGTATCTTTTCTTTGCATGTTTGCTTTCATCTCAATTGTTGGACCAAAACGAAGGATTTGACCAACAATTTAGATTTGTTCTTGGAATTATGGGCAAGGTCGTTTAGTTTACCAATTTATTTGGTCCTCTATTTGAAGTCTTACGTTGTGGAACTTTTTTTTTTACGGGGTGGGTGATACAAAACACTTTTGTGTTCTTTACTTTTGAATAGCAGTGAGGATTTTGAAATATCAGTCCTCTATTCTGCATTTTTTGGTTTCTGTTGAGTACATAAAAATTCTTTGTTGGAATAAAAGATGCATGCTTTCGGAAGAGCTTTATGTGCATGGTGTGCATATTCTATTTCACCTTTCTTTTTCTTTTGATCTTTTTTTATTTTTACATCCCGATCTCCTTCATCCATGATGCTTTCCGTGTCCAAAGACTGTTCTAATTGCTTCGAAGGATATATTCAGAAATTGCTATGGTTCATACCATGGGTCCTGTGTTCCAGCCATGTACTGTAGAAGTGCACCGTAGCGTGAATGACGCGGCGATAACGGCAGTATGCAATTCGGCTGCTCAGATGCTTCCTATTAAATGGGCTGTATTACTTAGGAAATTGTCTGTGTCTGTCTCAGTCTGACTTACAATGTAAGTAGATGATGCTTCTAGAAGTTGAAATGCAATGCGTATGATCCATCTACATAGCCACACCAGTCGGTGGTCTTCACTGTGGGAAGAGGTCGTTGCTAGGCTGACTGGCTTTTCATGCTAGATACAGGGGGAAAAAGGGATGGTTCTAGTCTATTTTACGGCTCCTGCCTTGCCCTCTACCCACCTATGAACCACCACGGCGTGTGGGCTAACCACATCACCGATTGATAGGGGCCAGCTGAGTAATTGTTCATCGCCACACCATCCTCATGGAAGCATTCCTGGATGCCCGTGAGCAACGCTAATTTTCCGTAAATTTTTACACAAATGCGCAGGTCCCGGCCATTTCCTTGGCCTATGAGGCTGCAGAATCGGACATTATGAAGCGCCAACCACGAGACCCGTGGCACGACAAACTTGTCAATTACAGGTGAGCTGCCACCACTATTCAAGAGGTTTTTCGCAAGCCCATTCTCCCTTGTTACTGTATATCAAGAATGTTTGGTTGGTGTCAAGGTGAAGCATACTGCTCCCATTGGAGAGCTGTAATTGATGTTTTAGAATTTTCACCAAGAAAATGTATGTGTTCGGACTATGTTTACAGACAGGCGCATCAATACATTGCACAGAACCACCTAATCTTACACTCGTTGGTCAATGTTTTATTGCTTAGGTTTATGTATATCTATACCTTATCCATGGAATGCCAGCTCTCAGCCTATACTACAGTTTGTTTGTAATTGCTGAAGCCTTCATTGTTTGATAGTCAGTGTTCTATAAAAATGTACATTGTGGCACATCATACAAGGATGTGGACGTAGGCAGAGTAGAGATGTCAACAAATAATGTGTAACATTTCCATACATAGGCAGGTACATAATGATTTATTTTACATCATTTGTGATTTGTCCAGTCCATGGATCATTAGTGGCCCAACTGTAAAGGATATCTACACTTTGTCAGTATCTTCTTCTACCTGCTTTGTTTATACAGGAGTCCTTCATGCACCATGTTTGTGAGTTAACTGGGATAAGAATTTTCCAGTGGATTTGTGTTCGCACTGCGTTTGTATCTTTTCTTTTTTGTAATGGACTGATAAGGCACTCTTTATCCATACCTCAAACAGTTTGTGAAAGTTTCTTGCCCCCGACATTTGTACAAACTTCTGTTTCCCTATGCATGGACTCTTTAAGGAAGATGAATGCATGTATCTTGTTTTGTTTTCTCTGTAAAATGAAATGTTCCACCACCATAGAGGATCTACAGCATCTCAGAAAAGGGTAAGGGAATCTTATCTATGCCGATACCCCATAGAGACTAAACCTGATTTTTCTTGTAGAATTCTTACTCTTAGCTAAGGTTTTATTCACTACCGGATACTATGACTAACCCTAAGTATTTACTCTGATTATAGTAGATAGTGTTTATACATAGTTAAAGTTCATATCCTACTGCTAGATGCCTTTTAATTGCAATCTTGCAATTTTCAGAAGGGATTTCATCAGCTGACAAAAATTGTTTATATTAGGTATTTGGTTGATATGAATATCTGTTAGTATTGCCTTTTTAAGTAGATAAAATTTACTATCTTTGAATGTTAACTTTTTCATATATATAATTAATATCAGCAGCACTCTTGATTGGTGTGCTTTATTTCACCTCTACTTTTCTATAATCTCCAGATAGAACTCAGGAATACAGTATGTCACAGTTCTCTGGTATCTACTTCGGTTATGCAAGCTACATTTTGTATGGGGTTTAACTTCTTTACAAAATTATAAAAAATTTCTTTCTTCTTATATATATATAATGGGGCAAAACATATGCCATACCATATTGTTCGAGAGTTTTAATTGTATGTTGTATTCCCCACACAACAGGCTCATCTCAATGGCCTATGGTCAGATTGGTATGATTCAAGCCCTGGCAGGATTCTTCACCTATTTCGTGATCATGGCTGAGAACGGCTTCCTGCCACCCCATCTCTTCGGTCTCCGTGAGCGCTGGGACAGCAAGGCCATCAACGATCTGGAGGATCACTATGGACAGGAATGGGTAAGTTGCCGGTTTGATGTAGTCCATTCGATGGTGCTTTTGTGTGCCCATTTTGAAAATGTAGAAACAACTGAATAAGACAGCTCAAAATTATGGAAGACACGAGATAGGTCTAGTAGATTGCCCTTCTGAAAATGGTAATTGTATTTGTTTTATGATAACTTTACTCTTTTTTTCCTAACAGACCTTCCACGACCGTAAGATTCTTGAGTACACCTGCCACACTGCCTTCTTCACCTCTATTGTGATTGTGCAGTGGGCCGATTTGATCATTTGCAAGACCCGCCGTAACTCCATTGTCCACCAGGGCATGAAGTAAGTACTTAGGAACTCGGCAAAAACTTGTTTAGGTAGTAGACTAAAAAATGTACCGGTTTTTATACTATGCAGATATCAGAATGAAAAGCTTATCAGCGAATTTTTCACAATGATAACTTGTAATATACTAGATGCAAGTTTTTGTGTAGTGTTTTCTTTCTGCATATTTACTGACCATTATTACTTTCAGGAACTGGGTGCTGAACTTTGGTCTCGTCTTTGAAACCACTTTGGCTGCCTTCCTTTCCTACACCCCAGGCATGGACAAGGGTCTTCGCATGTACCCACTGAAGTAAGTAGCTACATTGTGGCAGCAGCAAAACAAGCTGTCAGTTTAGCTGTGAACTTAGTTTTCAAAATATTCTCAAACATACATACCCAGAAAATCTTCTAACAACGATCCTTCTTTTCCACAGGTTCTACTGGTGGCTGCCTGCTCTTCCGTTCTCCCTCCTTATCTTCATCTATGATGAGATACGTCGCTTCATCCTGCGTAGGAACCCTGGTGGTTGGATGGAACTGGAGACCTACTATTAAGCTGTTACTGTGAGCGCAAGAATTACTAGAGCTCAAGACTGATTGCATGGCTCGCATCACCTGCCATCATCAGTGAACTTCCCACAGCCAGCACTTGTGTCGCTATTACTTGTGGAAATTTATTTAATATCCCAATATGGAAATTAATTTCTAGTTGACCCCAAGAATATTTAGTAAAAGAAGAGGCTTGGTCTCTTCATGATTCCATATGTATTTCATTGTTACTTACTGAGGATATTAATGTTATTATGGCTGTTTCTACTTTACCCATTGTTATATTTAAAGTTTCCAGTAAGTAACAGTGACATACAGATATATATACTCTTTTTTCCCAACAGACCTTCCACGACCGTAAGATTCTTGAGTACACCTGCCACACTGCCTTCTTCACCTCTATTGTGATTGTGCAGTGGGCCGATTTGATCATTTGCAAGACCCGCCGTAACTCCATTGTCCACCAGGGCATGAAGTAAGTACTTAGGAACTCGGCAAAAACTTGTTTAGGTAGTAGACTAAAAAATGTACCGGTTTTGCAGATATCAGAATGAAAAGCTTATCAGCGAATTTTTCACAATGATAACTTGTAATATACTAGATGCAAGTTTTTGTGTAGTGTTTTCTTTCTGCATATTTACTGACCATTATTACTTTCAGGAACTGGGTGCTGAACTTTGGTCTCGTCTTTGAAACCACTTTGGCTGCCTTCCTTTCCTACACCCCAGGCATGGACAAGGGTCTTCGCATGTACCCACTGAAGTAAGTAGCTACATTGTGGCAGCAGCAAAACAAGCTGTCAGTTTAGCTGTGAACTTAGTTTTCAAAATATTCTCAAACATACATACCCAGAAAATCTTCTAACAACGATCCTTCTTTTTCACAGGTTCTACTGGTGGCTGCCTGCTCTTCCGTTCTCCCTCCTTATCTTCATCTATGATGAGATACGTCGCTTCATCCTGCGTAGGAACCCTGGTGGTTGGATGGAACTGGAGACCTACTATTAAGCTGTTACTGTGAGCGCAAGAATTACTAGAGCTCAAGACTGATTGCATGGCTCGCATCACCTGCCATCATCAGTGAACTTCCCACAGCCAGCACTTGTGTCGCTATTACTTGTGGAAATTTATTTAATATCCCAATATGGAAATTAATTTCTAGTTGACCCCAAGAATATTTAGTAAAAGAAGAGGCTTGGTCTCTTCATGATTCCATATGTATTTCATTGTTACTTACTGAGGATATTAATGTTATTATGGCTGTTTCTACTTTACCCATTGTTATATTTAAAGTTTCCAGTAAGTAACAGTGACATACAGATATATATATATATATATAATGTACAGAATCCTGGTGAAGGATGTAATAAAGACAAAACCGACACTTCAAGACTGCACCAGAAGTAATTTTAACCGTGGTTTATATAACCTGGTCAACTACTGCTCCATACTGCAGGTGTGAGAAAGCAGTTTCTCTTGGGGGGGAATAAAATTTTTTGAATGCTGTAAACAAAAAAACAAAAAAATCCTAAAAAAAAGATAAATAAATAAGCAGCAATTGGAAAATGGCCACATTGTTCTACCTTTTTAAGTTTTTGGAAGAGGAATTTTGCTTTCTTACACAAGTGGTGCTGGGGATGTTCTCATCTGTTAAATTTGTGTAAATTTTAGTGCACATGAGTAGAAGTGTGATGGCTACAAACCTGCAGCCGAAATCAAGTGTAAAAATATTGTGTAGATAGTGTGTAGACAGCCCCAATCTTCATGAGACTACCTAGTTTGCAAGAATGTTTTCATAATTGATCATAATCATTATTCGGAGTCGAGTTGTTACAGCTGTACTGCTCAAACCTTATCCCACGTTCGTTGGTAAATGTTTCAATGCCTAGGTTTTATTTTATGTTTTCCTTCTTCTCTGGATATGTATTAACATTTTTGCTATGTGCAGTAAAATCTGAGAGGATAATACATTTTAATCTAAAAAGTAACTGTAATTTAATTTGATCCCTTTATATGTAATGCTTTATAATATGTCCTAAACTATGCTTTGGTTCTAAAAATTTTCTCTCAAAAGTGACACATTGGGTCCATAACATTCCACACTAAAGTATCAGCTTTGCACACTCAATTTGCTTTCGTTATAGAAGCCGGTCAATGGTAGAGGTAGAGTTTTTCATCTAGCTCTTAGGAACGCAAAAAAAAAATCATAGCTCCTAACCTTATGCTTTGTATTTGAGAGTGAAGCCCGTTTAGAAAGAGCGCATGAACTAGAAAGAGTGCATGATTATGATGTAAACAAAATACTGGCCATTTTCCTTCATTGTTAATCCAGAGCATTCATTATTCAAAATTGAGCATTCTACCTCTGTAGTTCCTGCTCAGCTTCCACCAAGTCATGTCGAGGCTAAGTTTTTGGTGTAAACAGATTAATTTAGTTTGTGTATAGATGAATTACAAATGGTTAAAACTGCCTGGCTATAATACTTAACCATTCATTCTGCATCTTGATGGGAACAAAACTGATTTATGTTTACTACAAAAACTATGCTGAAATCTAGCTGCCAGGTGTAGAATCTTATTGTTTTAGACTAAATGATTTGATCATACTGTATGTTACCAGTTGATGGAGGTCTTGTTGTCGAGATTTGTGGCAAGCAAGGAACCATTGCTTATGTGACCTGCAGCAAACACTATCATTCAGTGTGGTAGCCAATTACACTGTGGTTTCCTGCTTGTCATCCTAACCAAGCTTCGTCTAAAGCATCTAGCTGTGGGTCGGCCTTTGTACATAGGAGATACAGATATCATAATAATTAATAGTAAGAATATTAAATATCAAGGCAACTATATCTTGTTATAAAGCAGCACTATCACTAACTTTTTTGTGTTTTTCATGGAGGCAGAGAAGGAGCCCCAAGCTCCTTTTCAAAGGGACTCGAACTTCTATGGCACTTTTTTGGGTGCGCATCTTACACCTTCAATATTGAAAAATAAATGTTTTCTCCAAACATTTGGAGAGTTTTGTTTTAGCCCTGCCTCTGATTCCATGTTCAAAAAGAGAAAATTTTAAGAAGTGGTCACAGTTTTATCATTTATTTTACAAGTTCAAGGTTTTTGAATCCAATCCAAGTGCTGGATTCAACAATAAAATGTTTGAAATTTTTAAAACCTTTTTTCTTACACCTGATAGTAAGAAATTTAGAACTTAGAACAGTATCAAAAAAGAAAAGTAATGAAAGTTTTTTTTAAGTGCAGACTAAACAGGAACTTGCAACATATAATCGATATAGTTAATTCATCACTTAAAATTAAATCAACAGCAATATTTAACTACTTACCTAAAAAATCCGAAATAGTTGTCCAACCAATAGTATTTATAGTGTGTTCAGCCACAGGAAAGAATAGACAGGCAACTTACTGGAGCACTCGGATTTGCCAAGTGTCTCCTACCTTAAGCAACTGACACACAATACTTACGTTTGATGTTTTTACTTACTTGGTTATCTGATGTAAGTTCAAGCAGGACTCCCACTAATGGCTCATGCTAGGGAACACCCTTAACAATCATATATAATAACCCTACTGTTTTAAACCACTTCATTCTCAAAGGCGACTTGGCGAATCGGAGTACACACGAGTCCAGGATGAGTTGCCAGTTTTGTCCTTCCTCAGACTGAGTGGAATACAGTGATGACACCTTGGGCAGCCACAGGCAGGTGTAATTCTCATGGGCTGGCTGTAAAATCATAGTTTGGCGAAGTATGAGTGACTGACCCCAGTTTTCGTAACGAATAAGACTGAATATGGTAACTCTAAAGAAATTTCGTTAACAGAATAAAGGTTCTTGGCTTATAACGCTATAGATAAAAAAAATACTGAAATGAGTGTCTCGTGGTCGATACAATACTCGGAGTAGTCTTGTTGAAAACCACTAGAGTAAAGCATATAGTAGATCGAGAAAAAATGTCCAGAAGGAATGAGAGAATTTCAAAGTATAATACTGTCGTAAAACTAATACCATGACAAAACAAATGAAGGTTTAATACCAAGCTATAGGAGAAAATTGAGATGGACTTCAGGTTACCACGAGGCTGACGAAAGTCCGGAAGGAAAGGCGAAATTACAAATGAAAATCTTAACATGAGAACTGCATGCGTTTTGAATATTTTCAGTATAATATTTTTGTATCTTCTAAGTATATATAGAGAAAAGGAAGACAAGGAATTGGTGCTTCGTGGCTCATGACCGTACATTGCAGTGTGCTGAATAGAAAGAGTATACAGGCATTTGAGTGTGTGGACAATCATCAAGAACAGAGTAGGATCTAAAGAAGACTCGAGGTCCCTAAAACCTGACATGTTTCTTGAAGACATTTACCGTAGCATTTTCCCCCAGTTAAGTACTTCTGATTTCAGTATGGAGAAAGGCAAGTGATTATGTTATCTGCAGTAGTCAAGCGCAATACGTTGACGACGCAATGTGTTGGTTCTTAGTAACGGGCGATTCACGCTACGAAGCTACATAAACAGATACCTATATTTCGCCTCAGAACTATTCACCCTCGAAGAAAATAAGCATTTGGAGAGTGTGAACTACTATTATAACTGAAGAAGTTAAGTAAAGACTTGTCTAAACGAGCGGGCATGTAAAGGGGCGAGAAAAAAACGGGGAAAGAACTTGTTGACCAATTAGTCTGCCCGTCTGGAACATCATCTCTGTTCATGCTCGTTTAAGCCTCTGGGATTATGAATCATTCATTCATTCATTCTCTCTCTCTCTCTCTCTCTCTCTCTCTCTCTCTCTCTCTCTCTCTCTCTCTCTCTCTCTCTCTACTCTAGTCATTGGGCCTAAATACTGAAATATTCTTTTTGATTAAGGATAGCATAAGACGATGAATGACAGTGATATTGGTATCCGGTAATGTGGATAATTATAAGGTCTACCCAAACTTCTGTATAATGGTTTGTCCGCGTGCATAGCTATATTTACACGTACACATATTCATATAAATGCTTACATCCCAACACATACACAAATATTCACATTCACATGTCTCTGAAGCCGGGGAGCATGAGAGAGAGAGAGAGAGAGAGAGAGAAGAGAGAATATCTGATTTGAAACAGTTTATTTGGATAAATAGCACAATACTCAAATATTCCCAAGTCCTTCGGAGTAACTGGGTGTATTGTACTCTGTAAATTCTTGAGCAATTATTTTACACAAGCAAATTGCTTGTTTCTTTGGAATATCTTCAGTTACATTAATCACATGTTTTGCCACCCGTGTCATTTCTCTGCTTTCCTTTCTGAAATTCCATAACAGTATTTTAAGTTATGCCCTTGTCTTTCGCCACAAACGCTTAATTTTTTACGCAAGTCTTCCATCGAAATATTGTATTCTCTAACCTTAGTCGAGCTATAGTGGATTCGTTTTCCCTGCAGCCACCTTTTCCACTGTAAATGTTGTTGACATTTTCACTTACCTCATTGTACATTTTGGCTGATTTACTCTTGAGTCCTTTCATCTCTGTTCTTTCCATTTATCCTGGTCTTTATTCTCCGTCTTATTTGCTGAAGAGATGAACTAATAGCAACATCAATGCTATTTTTTGCACTGCTTCTTAGGCTAGCTTATCTGCCTTTTCCTTTCCACTTATCCTAATATGTGATGGAACCCATGTAAGTCTAACACAGATATTATCATCTTTCAATTTAGTCTTTTTTTTTAGTCTACAAACAATTTCATCATTAAAATTGTCAGTGGATCGCAAATAATCATTATTTCTTTTTAGAAGTATTATTGATATCCACTGCCATTGTGATAGCAATTAGTTCTCCTTACTCAATCAATGATGATCTCAAAGGAACACTTGGAACAGCATGAAGGACCTTGCCAATGGGCGACAGATGCTGGAACATCTGCAACAGAATTGTTGCGCCGCGCGTAGTCACGAGAGACATAGAGATCACTAGTCAAAGATGGTGATTATTACTCGCACTGATTTGTTTTTGAGCCTTTTACATTTTTTCTATTTTGGTTTGGGGCAATGTTACTAACATGGGTGCAGCATAATCAATATGTCTCCTAATATATACAATATAAATTTGTCTAAGAACATTTATGAATGCCCCTGTTCTGTTCCATAGTACTGCATGTAATGGCCTTTTTCTTACAATTTAACAATATGTCTCTTGCTCCACCCTCTATTCCATAATATGACATAACCTTTGTTTTATTAAATATTGCATGCCCATCTTCCTTAAAAAATTCCTCAAATTTTACAAAAGATGGTCAGCATACCCTACATATACCACATGATTAGGGTATTGTATTTTGGCAATAATGTCCATCAAAACATTAAACAACACTGGACCTAGTGCACCCCTTGGGGAATACCTATCTCTAATTTCATCATTCCAGAACAGGAACCTCGAAAGAATACTCTAGCTTTTATTGCATGTAGATACTATTTGATCTATGACAACTTTCCATTTACACCTAGTTTGCACAGTTCAGATAATATTCGGCCTTCAGCTTTGTCAACTGCACTCTTTAGGTCAATACATGCAGAATATCTGAATTTGTTTCCTACATTGTAATACAATGCACGGTAATTTTAACCGCCATAAATCCATTAATATTTGAGTCAAGTTTCTTATCTTAATCATAAGTCTATCGAGGAGTATTCTTTCCAAGGTTTTAAAATAGCCATGATGCTAATAATACTGGCCTATATGCCTCTGAATCACTAGGCTTTGGTATCAGTATAATTACAGATTGTTTCCATTTATTTGGAATATTTCCTGTTAAGTAGCCACGGTCGAATAAGAAGTATAAAAGATTACCCATTTCTGCTAATGCATTAATGATATAATACGTGTAATCCCATCATCCCCAGGTGCAGTGGATTTTCCTTATCTTAAAGCATTTGCTCTTTCCCATTCAATTATCTAAATCATCCATTCTTTTTATAGTACTATTAATTCTA